CACCTGAAGCTGATGCACCAGCAGGAGGAAACAAAGTCTCTGGTCTATTGGGGTCACATGTCCTAGTCCCGTTCAGTGACTCAACATGGACTGGGTTGGCGTCCCCTCTGCTGACGGACCCACCTCTAAGAGCAAAGCAGTGGATTTGGAAAGCAGCTTTCCCTTGTCTGCGTCGGCTTTCAGAGGACGGGGGCACTTGTGCATGAGGAACCCCTGTGAGGAAGGGGAGGCAGTTGTTTCTTCAAATGCTGGGTGGTTTTCAGAGCTGTGAAAGGTTGGATTTTTTATTTTATTTTCTTTGGCAAGACTTCTGGCTTTGAGAGAGAAAAACTCATTTTAAAGGGCTTTTTGAAAAGTTATAGAGTATCCTTATTTTTCAGACAATATATTCTTTTATTTCTAAGACTAAATGGAGAAGTGTATGCCTCTAGAATCAAACACTAGCAGGGAAAAAAAAGAACTGTTTTGAAGTTCCCGTCCCCCCTTCCCTACTCGCATTTCCTGGAAAGATGGATTGCTGGTTATGTGTTGGCTCACTTAGTACATTCCTGGGACAGCCTGTGTGCCTAGGGTTTTTATTCTTTCTAAACATTACTGTTTTTACTAAGAGGTGCCTTCCTAGAATGATAGCCACTTAGTAAAATTGATTATAACTATTATATACCACATGGCCACTCTGTTTGATGTACATGTGCCAAGAGCTTGGATACACACAGATTGATGGCAGATTTTGTGGAGGAATAAATTCGGAGCCTCTCTAAGGTGAGGCTAAGGGACAAATGAATAATGAAAGGCTCTCGGATTTTTTTTTTTTTTCAGCCAATGCAAGTAATCCTTTCACTCCCTTTTTTTTTTTTTTTAACTGCATCTAAAAGTTCCATCACACTCAACTTTACACACTCCACAGTGTACCCAGGAGGAAGGTTAGAATCCAGGCTTCAGGCTAAAATAAGTGGGGGTGCAGAAGCTGCGGTCACTGCTTCCTCTCCACGGTATCTTCTGAAAGGATGACCTTGGCCCTTCTTGCTCGGGACTGACTCACCCAGAGGAGAGGAGGCGCTCGCACCCAACAGGAAGAAAATCCAGATTAGAACCTCGTGCTCTCCCCTTTTTTCTGGCCTTTTTGCCATTGGTAAGATTGGGATGGTTTGGACTATGGATGGCATAATGATATTAATGTTTCTTTTGGTTTTTGTCACATCCCCATTCCTTTAACTTTTAAGTCCAGCTTATTTTGGCTTTTCTCAATAATGTTCACCAAGATTCAATTTAAAATGATGAAGACCAGGTCTGGTCTCTCCCTCGTAAATGAATTATGGACGTTTTCACCAAATCATGAGCATTTTCCAGCTTTTAGGACTGAGGGTGTCATCCCTGGATTTCACTCTCTGAGAATGTCAGAGTCTGAGAGAAGATAAATTTAGAAGATGAAATAATGTTTGCATCATTAAGCTAATTGTCTTCCCTATCTATTGAATCATCTTAGTATTATTATTTGTTCCGCATGTATTATGTTTATTGTGGAAATGTTTATGTAACATGCTTTCTATATCAGGGAAAATCATATATGTTTAATAAATTGGCTATAACTTTAATATCTGTGGAAAACTTGTAAAATTTGGAATGTATCATATGTAAAAAGCTTAAAGATATCCAAATAAATGCTTTAGGTGTTGACATTACTTTGGGTCTGTCTACATTTTCATTTTGTTTCACACTTAAATACCCTGGAAGTGTTCCCCATGTCACCTTGCTACAAGTAAAGTGGGACATGTGTATTAGCTTGGCATTTAAGATGCTTATGTTATTAGTGTCTGTTATGGCCATTAGCCAGACATCTTGACCTTCCCATAGAAAGCTTGATCATCATTTCAGCTGATTAATTTCCCTGTTAATTGGCTATGACAGCTTGTGACCTTTCTAAACCATTATGGACCTCAAGGCACGAGAAAAGGGGGCACTCGGAGTCTCTCCCAACGCCGAGACCTGTCTCCCGGTGTAAACTCTTTTCACTTGATCCCAGTCTTGTTCTTACACACTCCCCAGACACTTTCTGCTTATGAGAGAGACAGGTAGGAGAGGAGTGGCATCCAGTGCCAGGGAAGCATTGCCTACGAGAGCTCGGCTGTGCTCTTATTTTTTTTTTTCTGCTATACTTTTTAAAATCCTCTTCAAAGGAAAGGATCACACTGAAAAAGCAAGTTTCCCTTGTATGACCCCCGTCATTAATGCTGCTTTCGCTTCCTCCCTCCCTGTCCTAGTGTCGTCAGGTCCAGGGCTCAGGAAGCCCTGTGGTACACTCCTTGCTCTGTTGCTACTCTTGTTTTCCAAGTCAGGGTTTTTGAGGTTTGTTTAACAACAACCACAATCAAGAAATAGAATAGTTCCATCACCCAAGCTCTCCCATCCTGACCCCTGGCAACCACTAATTTTTTCCCCCATCCCTTTGCCTTGCCTCTTCCATAATGTTGTGGTTTTTTTAATATATATTTTACTGATTTTTCACAGAGAGAAAGGGAAAGGTATAGAGAGTTAGAAACATCAATGAGAGAGAAACATCGATTCAGCTGCCTCCTGCACACTCCCCACTGGGGATGTGCCCGCAACCAAGGTACACGCCCTTGACCGGAATCGAACCTGGGACCCTTCAGTCCGCAGGCTGACGCTCTATCCACTGAGCCAAACCAGTTAGGGCTTCCATAATGTTTTATAACTATCTTATGTAACCTTTTGAGACTGCTTCTCTCACAAAGAAGGCATGCAGCCCTAGCCGATTTGGCTCAGTAGGTGGAACATCGGCCTGTGGACTGTAGGGTTCCAGGTTCAATTCTGGTCAAGGGCACATATCTCAGTTTCAGGCTTCCAGCCCTTTTGAGGGCACATGTGGGAAGCAACTAATTGATGTGTCTCTCTCATATCAGTGTTTCTCTCTTCCCTCTCCCTTCCACTCTCTCAAAATCAATGGAAAAATATCCTCAGGTGAGGATTTAAAAAAAAAAAAAAAGAAGGTATGTGTTTGAGGACCATCTATATTTCCTTTGGTCGCCAAAGAGTTGGGAGTCCTGTAATACATGCTGTTGAATTGTGCACACACAGCAGATGAATTTACATGAAATAACAACACACACCCTTTATCTTCAAGTGTTTGCATCACCAGGTAGTGCTTGTGCAGTTAACAGGTGAAGGACATTTGGGCAATTTTTGGTGATTATAAATAAAGCCACTATAAACATTCATGTACAGGTTTTTGTTTGGACCTAAGTTTTCATTCCACTTGGGTAAACAGGAGTTTTCCTTTATATATAACTTAATCCACACCGTCCTTGTATTACATTCTTTTAACTTTGCTATTTATACTCATCCTCTGGAGGACAAGAAAGACAGTGCATCAGGAGTTAAGGACTGATATATCCTCCCTTGAAGCCAATCTCAAGTCCACTGAGGACTGGGAAGGCATCCCCACTCCCCCATGTCCCTATTCCCAACACACAGCACAACTGGCTGGCCATGCTGTCATCAGCCATCTTTTTTTATCTAGTGCAGGTCAGAGGCCCTAATTGCTTTGGTCCCCCCTGCCACCAGGCTAAGCTGCAAACCTTCTGGCCTAGCACCACAGGTCCCAGAAGAGGAGGGGCAGGGCAGCGTGCAGAGCAAGCAGCTAATCTTATTAATCTGTATTGAGGTCACTCAGGGTTTATTTGCTGCTGGTGGCTCAGTCCTGGTTTCAGTGTATTGCAACAGACTATGGGTTATTGAGCTGAGGCCACAAATTCTAGGAAATCCACCTTCCTAAATGTTCAGAATAAGCATTGCATACTTCTGCACTGTGGAGTGTTTTAAAAATAAAAGTCCTGCTCTAACCGGTTTGGCTCAGTGGATAGAGCGTCGGCCTGTGGACTGAAGGGTCCCAGGTTCAATTCCAGTCAAGGGTATGTGCCATGATTGCGGGCACATCCCCAGTAAGGGGTGTGCAGGAGGCAGCTGACCGATGTTTCTTTCTCATCGATGTTTCTAACTCCCTCTCCCTTCCTCTCTGTAAAAAATCAATAAAATATATTTTAAAAAATAAATAAAATAAAAGTCCTAAGGCACTGTCTTTACCTCTCACCCTATCCCAGGGCTAGGCTAGCAGGACTTTGAAATCTTGGAGTCCCTTGGGTGAAATGAATTTGCACTGGCCCAAGGAAAGACTGAGGTTAGACACCAGGGAGAACCTGGTGCCAGAGTTCCACTGGGCACTGGTCGGTGACCAAACGAGGTGGGCCAGCTTTCTCTGGCAACTATGGCTCCCTGAGGAGATCTGTTAAGATGCAGCTCTTCTAAGTCTGCTCTGAACCAACTGGTGATCATTATTGGAGGGTGAGTTAGTCCTTTGTCCTCAGACCCTAAAGTTGCTTATATCTGCCCTATAACCTGGACCCATCGAGATGCATATTTCCTTGTTTGGGGAAATACATTTTGGCCAGAGCAGGGAAAAAATGCTTTGGAATTTTTACTTAAATCACTAAAGTAAGATACCACATATTGAAATATTAGGTAAATTCAGCCGTGGTCCAGACTCTAGCAAAATGTTGAGATTATTTGGATAAATTGATAGTCACTGTTCTTGCAGGTAAGAGAGTAAGAAGGCAGGAAGGAGGTGGCTCCCATGCTGTTGAAACACAGCTACGCTGGTCATGAACAATGCTTCTGTTTCGTGTCAGGTTTGGTTTTGTTAAAAAATATTAGGTAGAGCCCTAGCCGGCCTGCGGACTGAAGGGTCCTGGGTTTGATTCTGGTCAAGGGCACATGTCCGGGTTGGGGGCTCAATCCCCGGTGTGAAGCGTGCAGGAGGCAGCCTATCAGTGATTCTCTCTCATCATGGATGTTTCTATCTCTCCCTTTCCCTTCCTCTCTGAAATCAAAAATATTAAATATATGTATGTTAGGTAAAGTTGGGGATCCTGTAATACATGCTGTTGAATGGGCTAAGATAGGCATTTTCATACTATACACAAAAGTGGTTTTCATACAATATAATTTTAATGTCTATTGTACAGCTTAGTTACACATCTGGCCTAGAGCAGCACTTTCCCCGTGGTTCTCAGCACTCCTGAGAGGAAAGAGGGCCCCGGAAGGGGGGCCCAAGGAATCAGAAGTCAGATTAAACCTGGGACCAACATCTGACAGTGTCCAAACATCTTTGTTGGGTCTTAAGCCTGGGGAAGTTAGAGCCCCAAAACACACCCCAGGCAGCACCAAAAGTCTTGCTTTCTCCACACCGGAAACTCAGGACGGCAGTGAAATCATTCTCTCCTTCAACTAAACGAGCTTCCTTTCTCTCTCTCTCCTGAAGGAACTGGAAACCTCTGTTGCAGTGCTAGCTCAGGAAGACGGCTGTCTTGAAGAATCCTCTTTAATGCAGAGGCATCCCAGGAATATTGCTTTGAAGGATGGCTGTCTGGGGATAGAAACAGGAAGAAGCTCCCAGAGGACTCTGCCCTCCACTGTAGACAATTAGTGTTGTCCACGGGGGCTGACACGCCCACCTGTGCGGGCATCCCTGGGCCCACCACGAGGTGAGGCCTGGTCTCCGAAGGGTAGACTCCCGTCTGATGGTTGCTCCTCTTCCACGGAAGGGCAGCCGTCCCCCCAGAGCCAGAGGAGCCCCCCCAGACCTTTCGGGGTGGGATGCTGCTGGGACATGACAACAGCTTGACTTCCTCCACCCGTAGCTCACTCCTGGCCAAGTGAGGACACGTGACTGAGACGGAGCAGGCCTTTAACTGCGTTCTTGGTGGGGAGAAACAATCCTCTGTCTCTAAATGCTCTTGCCCCGTCATTGGAGAATTCTTCTTTTGAGCCCTCCCTGCTTTGGAGAGTCCGGTACCCTTAGAAGAGTATAATTGTCCCCCACTTTCTGCCATTAAGCAAATACAATGGCTGACCTGTCAATCTTGGCATTTTTTAAAGGGATAACATGGCCAGTACTTTTGTTCAGACTCCTGTGCTTATGCACCTGGTGACATTTGGATGTAGAATGAAGCCTCTTGGAGCTTATAATGGCAAACGCAGCAAAGGGAAGCAGCCCTCGGGTGTGGCCAGTAGTCTCAGGGTGGAACTGAGATGGGTGCCGTGAGAGAGACGGGTTGTGGCTGGTCATCCCCAGAGACCCCTGAGGCCACCGTGAGACCATGTGCTAGAGCAGTGGGCCTGAAGGGGCTCATTCACTCACATTTTGAGTCATTCATTCAACAAATGTTTGACAGATGCTTTTAGGGACCCTAAACTTTCCATCCCACCATCAGGGAGAGTCTGTGAGGTGGCCGTCCTCCTCGGGAGCTTCAGATTGAACAAGGGTGTGTGTCCGCATTTCTTGGAGTCCATTACTTCTCAGTGTTCAGGAGGGAGGGGACCCGGGGCCATCAGCCAGCCTCGGGGGCCTGGCCTGCGTCTGCGCCCTCGGCTTCCACCTGGTTGCTCTTGCCCAGCTTTTTCAAGCGCTCCAGAAAGGCCTTCCAGGTCTCCGGCACGCTCTTTTCCAGCAGCCAGCCCTCGCTCTCGCACTCGGGGTCTTCGGGATTGGACACACTTTCCAGTGCCGTGTGCAGGTAGCGCAGCCCAGTCGTGGTGGTCACCTGGTTGGGGGAGAGGAGACTTAGTGGAGGTCTGGGAGGAGTAGCGGGGATTGGGGCTGTCAGGAAACCAGGGGAGCCGTTGGCCTCTTCATGACGGGGCCCTTCAATGAGGCGGGCTCTGATGAGTCTTGCTGGGGCACCCAAGACACTGGCCCCTATCCAACCTCATCACTTTCCCTCTCCCTTTCCCGCCACCCTGTGCTTCTTTGGGATCCTCCGCACCCCAGCCTTTCTCTTCCCCAGTCTGTACCATTTGCTACTTTCTCTGCCTCGAATACTGTTCCTCTCCACACTCGCCTGTTAATTCAGCTTCAGCCCTTGTGGTGCCTGTCCCTGCTCCTCCTCCTCCTCCCCCATCCTCTCAGGTCTCTCCTGTCCTGGGGGCATTAGGCCTGGGCTCCTCCCTGTGCCCCCAACCCCCTCCCGTGCCCCCCAGTTCCTAGCACATTATTTGGCACACATTGGGTATTCAGTAGCTATTTGCTGGAAGGTCTCTCCTGTCCTGGGGGCATTAGGCCTGGGCTCCTTCTCCCTGTGCCCCACCCCCACCCCGTCCCATACCCACCAGTTCCTAGCACATTGTTTGGCACACATTGGGTATTCAATAGCTATTTGCTGGACGGAATTTTAAAATGACCTCCTTTTCTGCAAACAATATGCTATGTGGTTTTCTCTACTTCTGTTATCTTCAGTAGTGTGGGGGTGAGTGGGTGGTTTGTTTGGATTTGTTCACTAGTCGTCACTGGGGCAGACACTGGTGCCAAAATGTCTGGGGTCTGAGCCAGCTCTGGCACTTAGCCATGTGATGAGGAAACCTGTTGACTCATCTGGTTTGCAGGTTTTCAGATCAGTATCGCCTGCCCCGTGTGTGTGCTGTGACACTTCAGTATGTGGAGGCCGTGGCACCTGGTGCACAGTGAGGGTGAATAGAGGTGTCAGCTGTAATCGGTTATTAGTGTGGTGAGTATTGTTTTCAGCTGTCCGTTGCATTGTGTTAGCCACTGTTTCTACACAGTCCTGGTTTGCTCTCACATACTTCTCCTTTTAGGGTACAGCAAACTCTGTGAGGGGACTAGGCTCGCTAATGGAGAGCGTCCGCTCCCCGAGGCAGGGGTGACCCTGTTCCATCTCGTTCACCCAGTAAATTGCACTAGAACCACACTGGCTGGTGGAGGGCCTCGCTAAACATCTGTTGAATGAATGCTATGGGGCAGCAATTTTCAACCCATGTGTTGCAAGAATGTATAAAACGTGCTGTGACATCTGACTATTCGATCAGGGGCACTGACCTCTTTTCCCTTAGATTATCAAATAAAAAAATGACAACATCTACACAACCATAGTTGTCTGGTGTGAGTGAATCAAAAGTACACTTTTTTTTTTGTCAGATCGGAAAAATTTTTTGGGGGGGTGTGCCGCAGAATTTTAATAATTAGTTTGTGTGCCATGAGATGGAAAAGGTTGAAAATGGCTACTCTGGGGCCATTTTATAATGATGGTAGATGATAACAGTAACTAATAGAGTTTAAGTTATTGTTATGGTCCACTGAAAGTTTAATAGTTTTAGCAGTGGGGAAACATACCTCTTCCTGGAAGTCCTCTTCCTGCCTGTACCCACTGTGGCCCCCTCCTGCTTTCCTGAAGGCGGCCCGCGCTGCACTGAGTTTTGCACTTGGTAAAAGTTCCCTTAGGTTCACGGCTCAGATGTCATCTGCTAACTGGGTTGTGAAGTCCGGGAGGGCAAGGCTCAGGGCAGAATCCTGTCTTAACCCAGCCCCCCTTGTGCCCATCACAAAGCTCTGCCCACTAAAGACCTCAAGTAAACGTCAGGGGCATTCGAGCTCCCTGTCCACAGTGAGCTGGCTCCTGAAAAGGTGCTGCACCGAGAGGCAGCCAGTGGAGCCCAGCCTTCCAGCAGTAAGCTTCTCTCCTAATTCTACCCACGGTTCCCAGGACTCTGCCTCAACATTACAGGAAGCCCGCCCTCCCCACCCACCCTCAGGGAGCACAGCCCCTCTCGGGTAACTGGCTAGTGGGGTGTCAGCCAAGGGCACCGCTGCGTGAGAATTCCCATAGACTAAGAGACTAAAGGAACCGTTCAGTGAATCTTCTCTGACAGAAAGTTCCCCCACCCAGTGTTTCTGATTTTGTACACTTGGAATTTGGAGTCTGGATGTTCTGCTGTCCGCTCAAAGCAGGAGCCCAAGTCACCCTCTGTGCCACCTTGGTCTGCCACTCATTAACCTTTTGCGCTCCAACATCGAGGCTGACTCGACAGACCAGGCGCTAGTAGCAGGTCCAACGTCGAGCTGAGTTGGTGATTGAGCTAATTGGCAATTTCCACCAGGGAACTACTGCAGCCAAGAGAGGAAGGACTTCCCATTCGGACCAGACTGTTCGAATTCCAAAAATAAAATTGGAGCGCAAAGGGTTAATGCACACCCCATTCAGCACCCAGGACAGCGCCCAGAGCAGGGTAGGTTTGTGAAATCTCTTCAATAAAGGAATTCAGCATTCACTGAGGGCTTACTACATGCCAAGCCCTGTGGCTACAGAGAGGAATTCAGCCTTACAGCCGAGATAAGATGAAGCCACAAATAATTAGAATAGCAGGTAAACAGTGATCAACATCTCAAAAGAAGCATGAATCCAAAGAGCTCGCATTTGCTGAATGTTCACCCATACCTGGTCAGTGGTCCCCAAGCTAAGTGCTGTCAGCTCCATATAACAGAGAGGTGAAGTACTTTCCAAGACCTCAGACCAAAAAGTGGAGGCACAGGCTGGACCTCTAACACATACAAAGTGAAAGCAGCCAAACCAAAGGCTGCCTAATACATGATTCCATCTATATGAAGTGCCCAGAATAGGTAAATCCACAAGGACAGACCACAGATTGGGGGCTGCCTGGGGTGTGGGCTGGGGGATTGGAGAAAGACTGCTTAACGGGTATGCAGTTTTCTTTGGGGTGATGGACGCGTTTGGGGGCTAGGTAGAGGTGGTGGCGGCGTAACATTGTGAATGTTCTAAATGCCCCTGTATTGTTCACTTAAAATGGTTGCTTTTATGTCCTATGAATTTTACCTCAATAAATTATTTTTTAAGCAACAGGACAGAAACAAACAAATGGAAAGTGGAGGTCTTGGGGTTCAAGCCTTGGCCTTCCTGACCCACAGCCAGGCAGAGGGCTGGTTCCAAGGAGGGAGGGAGGGAGGGAGGGAGGCATGTGCTCCGGGCCCAGTTTCTTCCCTTTAAATCCAAATAGGCCCTGGCTAGTTGCTCAGAGCGTCAGCCCATGGACCGAAGGGTTGTGGGTTCAATTCCTGGTCAAGAGCACATACTTCAGTTGCGGGTTCGATTCCTGACCATGGTCAGGGCAGGTGCAGGAGGCAACCAATCAATGTGTCTCTCTCACATTGATGTTTCTCTCCCCCCCACCCCCTCCACTCTGTCTGAAAATCAATGGGAAAAATATTCTCAGGTGAGAATAAAAAAAATGAAAATAAAATACAATAAATCCAAATGGGCAGATGGCTCCCTTTTCCCCTGCACCCCACCCCGGGCCAGGAACCTACGTCAAAGAGCCAGACGAGGAGCGTGACGGCGCCCATGGAGTTCATGAGGCTGCTGTAGTAGCTCAGCAGGGCGGCCCTGCAGCCTTGCACCCACAGGTTGAGCTCCTCCGTCTGGTGGTCATAGCTGTAGTGCGCCGAGTTGTTGGTGAGCTGGTACTGGATGCAGGGCCGTGGCGAGTTGGGGTTGCAGCAGCTAAAGGGGACACCGTCCACCAGGTACCTCCCATCCACGTTGCTCTTGATGCGGCTGGAGGAAAAATAAACAACTTGAGAGGGCTTCTCGGACTTTTCACCCGGTACCAGTTCCTCCCGTCCCTGCCACAGTCCCATTCATTCATGCATTTGCTCTCTCGGTCATATTTGCTGTGCACAGACTATGTGCCAGCTAGTTAGTGTTCTAGGCACTGAAGATGGAGCAGTGACCCCCGGGAGCCGGTGCCCCTGCCTTGCTGGAACTTATGTTCTGGAGCAGGGGTGGGGAACCATTTTTTTGGCCAAGGGCCATTTGGGTATTTATAACATCATTTGCGGGCCATACAAAATTATCAACTTAAAAATTAGCCTGCTAGGCCTCGCCGGTTTGACTCCATGGATAGAGTGTCGGACTGGGGACTGAGGGTCCTGAGTTTGATTCTGATCAAGGCCACGTGCCCAGGTTGTGGGCTCAGTTCCCAGTGTGGGACGTGCAGGAAGCAGCCGATCAATGATTCTCTCTCATCATTGATGTTTTCATCTCTCTCTCCCTCTCCTTCTCTGAAATCAATAAAAACATACTTTTAAAAAAAAGAAAGTTATTTTTAAAAATTAGCCTGTTTAATTAACTCATTTAATTAACTCACCCCTACTGCCTTGGCAGGGCCAGACCAAATGATTTCTCGGGCCTTAGCCCACAGCTGGACGTTCCCCGCCCCTGCTCAAGAGGGTTGGGATTGGGGAATGTAGAGATCATCCATCGTCCCTGGCAGGCAATGATTTCTTAGAACCATGGCAGGCTGGTGAGAGCAACAGAAGGGCAGGGCTCTGCCTTGTATTCGTGACCATCCGACTTCAGCCCCCAGCCCTCTCTCCAAATTCATCTCCCCCTTTGGGACCAAGACCCCCTCTGGCCAGATCAGTTCTTCCCAGCAGATGTGCCAGGGCCCGTGCAGGGAATGAGGCTTGCCCCTCGCTTTGCTCACCGTTTGCTCACCATCCACATGAACTCTGTCCAGCTGAGTGGGCACTCCTTACTCACCTGACGGATGCACCCACATAACTCCGCATTTCTATATTTATGTATGTATTGGGTTGGAGCACACCATACGTTCGTGTGGGTTCAGATTCAAGAGGAGGAGACGTCTCTATAGTGACGGGTCTCCCCTCCCCATCAGGCGGGCTGGCTATGCCCTACCTGACCTGAGGGAAGTTACCCAGGTCTGTCGGGTTCAGATTCAAGAGGAGGAGACGTCTCTATAGTGAAGGGTCTCCCCTCCCCATCAGGCCGGCTGGCTATGCCCTGACCTGAGGGAAGTTACCCAGGTCTGTATGTGTCAAAAGCCATTGAGATTTGCGCACCTGACTGTATGCATGTTATCTTGAGTAAAAAAAAAAAATTGTTTAAGTTGCACATGAACAGTGCATTCCATAGTAATAGCAGACTTTTACAACACAAGAATAGAAAGCCTGTAATTGTTTAAAATAGAAATCGTGTTCAACAATATTCACTGAAATGATCATTGCACTCTAAACAAGGACCTTCGCCCTGGCCGGGAGCTCAGTTTGTTAGAGCATCATCCCAGGACGCCAAGGTTGTGTTCGATCCCCAGCCAGAGCACATACAAGAATCGGCCAATGAATGCATAAATAAGTGGAACAACAAATCAGCGTTTCTCCCCTTCCTCTCCCTCTCTAAAGTCAATAACTAAAAAAAATATATTAAAAATAAAGACAATATAAGTAGATTTTCATATTTAGCTTCTAAGTAAAATCTCCTTCGTGCAATAAAACTCCCCCTCATTCTCGTCCCTCCACCCCCCCAACTATGATCAACTTGTCTGACCTTTTGGGGAGGCGTCATGCAGGGACAAGCAAACACGGGTTCCATAAATGTTACTCTTCCTGGTTTGCTTCTTCTTTTTTTTTTTTTTACCTAAGTGGCAGCATTATATACTACTGTCTTTTTTTTTTTTTCCTAAAGAGTGGAAGGGAGGGAGAGAGACAGAGAGAGAAACATTGATGTGAGAGAGACACATCGATGGGTTGCCTTCCACACACACCCTGACCAGTGCCAGGGATCCAGCCTGCAACCGAGGTATGTGCCCTTGGCCGGAATCGAACCCATGACCCTTCAGTCCACAGGCCAATGCTCTATCCACTGAACCAACCGGCTAAGGCTATCCTACTGTCTTTTTACCCTTAACAATGTCTTGAAGATGTTTTATATCTGCCAGTGGGGAGTGCTGTCAGGTGTTCGGTGAGCTCTATGGTGTCCCCACTGCAGATGGTTCCTGGGGTACTGGGCAGTCCCCGTGGGGGGCGCTTGGGGTTTCCTAGTCTCCTGTTAATACAAACACGCACGTGTCGTCCTGCATGTATAAATTTATCTAGAGGGTAAGTTCCTAGAAGATGCATTCCTGCGCCAGAGGTGGGTCCGTCTGTGACCACACCAGACACCGTCTGCCTGTCTCCTCGGGGCTGGGCAGGCACACCCACCAGCCACACCTGCGAGAGCCCCTCCCCACAGCCAAGCCCTCACAGGTCTGATTGATGATATTGAAAGCTGACCCATGGAAAGAGTATCTTGGGTCCTGACTCAGTAGCTTGGTTGGTTGGAGTGTCGTCCGTACACCAGAAGATTGTGGGTTCAATTCCTGGTCAGGGCGAGTACGGGAGGCAACTGATTGATATTTCTCAATCGATGTTTCTCTCTCAAAAAAAAAAAGAGAACATATCCTTGGGTGAGGACTAAAACAATAGTATCTCGCGGTTGTTTTAATTTCCACTTCTCTCATGAGTGGAGTTTGGTGTCTAACATGTTGAAGAGCCACCTGTGGTGCTCGCTCTGGCAGCACATACACTAAACTGGAACGTACAGAGATTCACATGTCGACTGTGCAAGGATGACACACTAAGTCCTGAAGCGTTCGTATTTTCACTTAATAAAACTTAAGACTATAAAAAACAGATCCAGCCCAGCTGGTGTGAGTGAGCGTTGAACACCTATGAACCACGAGGTCACGGTTCAATTCCCGGTCAGAGCACATGCTGGGTTGTGGGCTCAATCCCCAGTAGGGGGCGTGCAGGAGGCAGCCCATCAGTGATTCTCTCTCATCATTGATGCTCCCCTCTCTCTCTCTCTCTCCCCATTCCTCTCTGAAAGCCATAAAATATATATATATATATTTGGAAAGATCCATTTGTGATTCCTTTTCAGTGAACTGTCCTTTGCTGTCCGTCTGAGTAAGACTTTAAGAAAGCTCTGTACAGCCCTAGCCGGTTTGGCTCAGTGGATAGAGCGTCGGCCTGCGGACTGAAGGGTCCCAGGTTCGATTCCGGTCAAGGGCATGTACCTTGGTTGCGGGCACATCCCCAGTAAGAGATGTGCAGGAGGCGGCTGATCGATGTTTCTCTCTCATCGGTGTTTCTAGCTCTCTATCCTTCTCCCTTCCTCTCTGTAAAAAATCAATAAAGTATATTTATAAAAAAAAGAAAGAAAGCAAGAAAGCTCTGTACACGTGGCCTCCTTGGCTCCAGAACAATCCATGCCTGGGTATCGGCCACCATATTTCTACACCGACCTTTCCTGCATGGACAGGACCCACTGCCTGAGGAGGGGGCGGCCCTGGGTGCACAGGTGGTCCCGCTGAGAAGAGCAGGACACCTGGGTTTCTGCCCGGTCCATCCCCCGGGTAGATCCCCTCACCTCCCTGGGCCTCAGCTCCCTCTGTGAAGTGGGGTCGACACAAGGATCACACGAAGGGATCCATGTGAAAGGCTTCGAAGAACAGTGAGCCAGGCTCCTCGTTCCCAGGGAGCCTCTGTGACAAGGTGACACACTGCCGGGGACACACTAGAGGGGTGCATGGGCCCTGTCAGCTGTGCGGAGGCTGTGAGCGCTGCTGTGAGGAGGAGGCACCTTTGTCCGAAGCAGTGGCTGCTGGAGAAGTTCTCGCTCCAACCCCACTGACTGCGGGTGAGCAGCCCAGCAGGCGGAGCAGACAGTGTCTCCCACCCCAAGACCAGCCCCGCCACGGCCTCCTCTCCTCACCGGGAGTAGCTCAGCTCAGCTGCTGCCGCCCCTCCCTGCCTGTTGGCCCTGGCGCCCACTCCACCAGCTCAGTGTCCCGCCTGGGCCGTCCCAGCGCCTCCCCTCGGGAGAGAGCCCGCGTCAGCCCCAGCCTGCATCTGTGAGCGGGTCGCACACTGGTGAGCGGCACTGACTCCTCTCTCCGGAGCTGGGGGTGGGGGACCCTGCCCTCAGCGGCTGTGGGTTAGCTAAGGCCTGCACGGGGTGCAGCTGGGGAGAAGGGGGCTCCCCCCACGCAGGGCCCGCTCCCTGGGACCTGGCCCACCATCAGGTGGTTCTGCAGCAGGGGAAGGGCCAAGGCAGGGCCGGGCCTCACCCAGCACCGGAGTGGCCCTGCCTCCGGGACCTGCCTGAGGGCCAGGCGTGCGGTTCTGTGGCTGAGGCCCCAGGTCGGAGCTGCCTGCAGCCTGCAGCTGGCCTTCTGGGCGGCGCCTTCCCTCACCTTGCTGACCCCAGTGGAGAAGCCACCTTGCTGGTCCCTACAGGGCAGGGCCGTGTCCCCTCCCCCAGACTGGGGCTCCCTGAGGACAGGCCGTGTCCCCCTCAGACTGGGGCTCCCTGAGGACAGGGCTGTGTCTCCCCCCAGCCGGGGACCCCTTGGGGCCACAGCTCTGGAACTGGCCCTCCCTCCCCAGAAGCACGTCTGTCGGCTCGGCGCTGGCCCTGGTCCAAGCACAGGTGACAGCCTCACTCACCCTCTTAGGACGAAGCCGGGCAGAGGCTCCTGGGGGGGGCTGGCTGTTTATATCTGGGCCCCCGGCTGCAAACCGCGCTCTGCTCAGGGCTCCAGGCTCCTGAGGTCTTAATTGATGAGCCTGTGTTCTAGCCCAGCGGTCGCCAATCTTTGGACCTCACGGACCACCAGGGTCCGCAGACCACCGGTTGCCGACCACTGTGCTAGCCACTGTCCCATGGCCCAGCCACCTCCCACGGGAAAATCACCGTGTCCGAGTCCCCTGGGG